TAGGAGTGTCCATCAGGGCACTTGGGGTCCGTGTAGAACCTCTCCATGTTGCAGAATCCATTGAACTTCTCGGGGAGCAGTGTCCCATCCCCAGAGATCCTGTTCATGTAATGGATGTCGGCCTCCGGGAAGTGTTTCATTCCTGGGAAGAACAACCCAACAACTGAGCACTAAACGAAGGAATAAGTTGTGTTCACCTACAGCAAAAGCCTTTTAATACACAGTTGTTCTTTAAACAGCTCTGAAACAACCCCCAAGCCTCTGGTCTATCACATCAGAGGGCAACAAACCCCACCTTCAAGCACTGCCCCCTTTCTGCCCCCCACAATGAGAGCTGAGCACAACCTTGGTGCCACCAAACCCACTGTCCTGACCCTCCCTGTACATCCCCAGGGACAACCCAGCCTCTCCAGGAGACCACTGACCCCATCAGGACTGGGATTTCACTCACAGCAAACCCCACCTACACAGGCATCCTCACCCCAAGCATTACCTATAACCCCCCCCCATTCCCCAGTTAATTAAGTTCATCAAGAGCTGCTGCTTTGGTGAGGTTTCCTCACACAGCTGCACTGTTAAATTCCACCAGCTGTCAGAGGAACAGCCCCAACAAGACATACCCAGTTTCTGTGCTAGCTGCTCTGCCAGCTTGCCCTTCCCAGAGGACAAGTTTCCCTCCACTGTGAAGACTTTGCTGTAGTCCGTGAACCTCTTGGTAGTTCTATCTCCCAACATGTAAGCCAGCCACCCATACTGCAAATTCTGCTCAGGGCTGCTGTGAATTCTTGCCTGGAAGAAAACACAAGGAAACCAGCACATTTGGGGTTTTTTTAGCTGAAAGTGAAGCTTTTTCAGACCTACTACGAGGAATTTTTATGCAGTAACTGTAGCACTGACATTTCAGCTCAGCAACTGAAGCAGCTGTTAGGCTGGGAAGGTGGTTATGAAATTAAAGGCTGGGAAGACAGAAAGCATGGACCAATTCTCAGCATGTTTTTAGGAGGGGCTGCTCTGCCAGAACCCTGCTCTGACCCAACACAAGGACCCAAAATGCCCAGAGTGGCTGAAGGTCACACACAGAATGTGCCCCGACTCCCAGGGGAGACCCTGCTTTAGGCCTTTGCTTGTGCTGTTTCGTTTGTTGCCGGGTTGTAACAGCGCCAAACCCTCTCCCAGTCTCTCAGGAAAGCTACAGCTTCCTTTCAACACGGCTTAGTGGGCAAAAGCTTGAATCTGATGACCCTAGGGGCCTTTTCCAGCCTTAGAGATGTCATGATTTCTGCACAGCACGAAGGTGGCAAGAGGCAGCAGAGCCCCTCTGAGCCCTGCCCAAAGCCCCGCAGCCCCCGATGACACGGAGCAAAGCTCGCCCTGCGCGGTGCAGGGACCCGCCACACCCAGGATTTGTTTGGTTTAATATCCTTCTGGTGGCAGAGCCACAGCTGAAGGTCACTGGGTCACCCTCAGCCATTCACGCGGGTCCCTGCCTCACACCTCGCCTCCTCTCCCGCCTCCCTGCCTCATCCTGCAGGGAATGTCCCATCCCCAGGCACAGTCCAGCCGTGCATCCCCCCCAGCGGAGCCCCCCGAGCGCTCTCCGCGGCCGGGACCCCGAGCGCGGGGGCAGCCCCAGCGCCCTCCCCGGGCCCCCCGCTCACCGCCGGCAGTGCGGGGCTCCCCCCGAGTGCGGGGCTCCCCCGCGGGCCCCGGGCGGCCGCGGCCCGGCCGAGCCGGGACACCCACAAGGACATGGCGGGCGGCGCGCGGGGATGACGCAGCGCGGCGGCGACACGGGAAGGGGCGGGGCGGCGCGCCCGGACACGCCCCCTGAGCGCTGCCACCTGCGGCCGGGGCCACGCCCCTGAGCGCAGGTCACGCCCCTTCGCCTGAGACCACGCCTCCATTAGCGCAGGCCACGCCCCCGCGCCGCGAGGGCTGTGGCGGGAACAGGGAGATTGGGAACGGGATTGAGAACTGGACTGAGAACGGAACAGGGAGACAGGGAATGGGACTGGGAACGGGACTGAGAACGGGACTGGGAACGGAACAGGGAGACAGGGAATGGGACTAGGAACGGGAGAGGGAACGGAACAGGGAGACAGGGAATGGGACTGGGAATGGGACTGAGAACGGGACTGGGAACGGAACGGGGAGACGGGGAATGGGACTGGGAATGGGACACGGAACGGAACAGGGAGACAGGGAATGGGACTGGGAATGGGACTGGGAATGGGACTGGGAACGGAACAGGGAGACAGGGAATGGGACTGAGAACGGAACAGGGAGACAGGGAATGGGACTGGGAACGGGAGAGGAAACGGAACAGGGAGACAGGGAATGGGACTGGGAACGGGAGAGGAAACGGAACAGGGAGACAGAGAATGGGACTGGGAACGGGACACGGAATAGAACAGGGAACGGGACTGGGAATGGGACACGGAATAGGACAGGAAATGGGACTGGGAACAGGTGGGACAGAGAACAGGACAGGGAACAGGTATGACAGGAAACGGGACAGGGAACGGGACATGGAACAGGCGGGACAGGGAACACACAGGCAGCCTGCACCATGTCTGGCCACAGCTCCCGGTAGGAAGGAGTCTGGGCCGCTGTCTCTTTCCCATACCCGCACATCCAGTTGTCCCAGTTCCCTCTGTGCCCTTCTTTGAGTGCTTGGCCAACACCTCCAAGCCCAGCTGCCTGCGGGGGATCCATGAGAACAGGCAGGGACATCCTGCGTTGTTCCCCCACGGCATCCTGGTCTTCCCGGCACCTCCCTGCTGAGCCTCTCTGCTGCCTCCTGCCTGTCCTGCTCCAGGTGGGAGGTGGGACAGGAGCCCTGCCGAGGTCTCTCCCCACCTGTGAGTCCATGGACAGCAGGGGATGAGTGATCCCAGGGAGAAAACAGGCACAACTGCATGATTTGGCCTCTTGTTCAGTACAGGCACCTGCTTTTGGGAACCTGGAGCTCAGGTAGGATATTCACAGCCCCCTTTCTCCTGCATCCCATAGTGCCAGAGACACCCTGGGAGGTGTGTCTAAATCCTGGGATTTAGGCTTGGAACATGTGCAGCACCCCAAGCCCAGCTCTGCCTGGCAGGAGATGCCTTAGGAAACCTCTTTGCTTAAAGCTGCTCTCGGTCTTAATCTATCTATTTCCAGTGGGTGGAAAGAGGTAAATCAGGTGGATTTTCCCAGAGGAAAGCCGGCAGTGGATGTAGGAGAGCGATGTAGAGCAGCCTTGGAAAGGCTCTGAGGTTTGGAGGAGCTGGGGAGGAGAAGTCCAGGAGGAGAGCACTGGGGGCAAAGAGGGGCTGGGGGGCTTTGGCCAAACATGGGAGCACACGTGTCTTCATGTGGATGTGGCACTTGGGGACGTGGGTTAGTGGGACATTGGCAGTGCTGTGGGAACAATCTTAGAGGTCCTTCCCAATCTAAGTTATTCTGTGATTCCTAAATCTGGGGGTGTCCCACAGGCTGTGGAAACTGCCTTCCCACAGCCCTGCCTGCCACTGGGACACCTGGGAGCAGCCTGGGCCACCTTCCTCCCACAGCTTCCCTTCTCCACTTGATGGAGATACCGGAGTGCAATTCCAGGCCTGAGCTGGATCTTCCCCTGCCTTATTGAAAATCACACCCAAATTCCTTGATCTAGGAAGGGCACAACCAAACGTTTTACTCACTTCCCATCAAACTGACACCATCCCTGCTGACCTGGCACATTTTTGATCCCATTAGCTGCCTCTGGTTTGCCCCTGGCAAGAAGCGATCGAGTTTCATTTCAAGGATTTATCCCTGGAATTTGCAAACGGCTTCAAAAACCCAACCAAACAACCCACACAGGATGTGACTGCGTCTGGGTTTCCTTAACAGCTCTGTCTGCAGCTATCCCGGGTTGCTCCAAGCCCCGTCCAACCTGGCCTTGGACACTTCCAAGGATCCAGGGGCAGTCACAGCTTCTCTGGGCAACCTGTGCCAGGGCCTCCCCACCCTCGTTCATGAAATGGCGAGGAGGCTGCGTTTGGTGATGGATACTCATCCAGGAGAGGATGCCCAAGGGGTCTTGGAGGATGGAGCAGGAAAACAGCAGGTCCTGTTCAGCGTGGGGAGCTGTAGGAGTGATGTGGGTGGGCACTGCGCTCCCACGCATCCACAGAACACGCGGGAGCGGCGTCTTGTCCCTGGAAATGGCAAGGGAGGGGAACAGGCTTGATTTTTAAGCAAAAGGATTTGTGGTAACGAGCAAACCACAGCTGGATGTGACGTCTCTGTGCCTGGCCTTTGTGTCCGTGGTTGCCTGTCCCTGTCATCCCTGTTTTCCCCACAGCAGCTGGACGGGGTGTGTGGGGGGGAAGAGCGAAAGCTTTGGACGGTGTTAACCCAGGGAATTGCAAAGTGAGAGGGAACAGGCTGTTCCTGGAGGGGGACAAGCGAGGCAGTCAGGCTGTGGAATGGTGGCCCACGGACACGGTGTTTCCGAGCATTCAGTGTCCCTGGCGGGGGGTCTGTCCCACGGACACGGTGTTTCCCAGGTTTTGGTGTCCCCCGGGAGGGACAATGTCCCACGGACACGGTGTTTCCGAGGACTCGGTGTCCCCTGGAGGGTGTTTCCCAGGATTCAGTGCCCTGGCGGGAGGTGTCCCACGGACACGGTGTTTCCCAGGATTTGGTGTCCCTGGTGGGGGGTGTCCCAGGGACACGGTGTTTCCCAGGATTCGGTGTCCCCTGGGAGGGGCGATGTCCCACGGACACGGCGTTTTCCAGGATTTGTTGTCTCCTGGGAGGGAGGGATGTCCCATGGACACGGTGTTTCCCAGGATTCGGTGTTCCCTGGGAGGGGCGATGTCCCACGGACACGGTGTTTCCCGGGACTCGGTGTCCCTTGTCCCCAGGACCGAAGGGGCGGGGGCGGGGCCGATGCCGAGGGGGCGTGTCCGGGGTGTGTCCGGGGCGTGTCCCCGGCGTTTTCCCCCCCAGCCCCGCCCCGGGCGCGGTCCCGCTCCGGCTCCCGCTGCCGCCGGTGCCGCTCCCGCCGCCCGCGGGATGTACGCCGGGAGGAAGAGGAAGAAGCCGGTGCCCAAGAGGTGGGTGCAGGGAGGGAGTTTCCCCCCGGGGACCCCCGGGCGGGGCGGCCGAAAACCGGGCAGCGGGAGCCCGGCTGGATCCGGGGAGCTGCCGGGAGCTGCCCTGGTGGGAGCACCGGGGGAGCGGCATGCTTGGGTTACTCGGTTTTAATTAGGGTTAATTGGAGCTAACGCTGTGTCGGCTCTGGCACGCTGGTGGGAAAACAGAAATCCCGAGGATGCTCGTCCTGAATCCCAGTGAGGAGCCTCGCTGGAGAGTTTGGGCTGCTCGGCTGTGATTTTGCAAGCTGGGCTGGATTTCGGTGCCTGCCTAAGTCAAACGTACAACGATTACTAATTACCAAAACATCTCAATTCCTTAATAATTAATTACCACGCTGCTCAATAGCTGTTGCATAACATCCCCCCCCGGTGTGTCCCCGGTGTTTCCTGGCTCCTTCATGCCTTCCCTCCACCTCAGCTCCCGAGTCCTGTCAGCCTGTTTAACCTCAGGCTTGCAGGTGTATAGGAAATCAAGGTGGATATATATTTTTGGGAGGCCGTGGGGGGGACGGATGAGCTGAGCCCAAGCCTGGGGTGAAGGTGGGAACATCGACATTATAAACCTGTGGTGGAAAGTTAACTCAGAGCCTCTCTTGGCTATTTATCTGGGAGTCTTCCTGTGGAAACATGAAGGGTGGTTGTTCTGCCTCAAACCTGTCTCCTGTTCACCTCGGAGCGGCGATTCCACCCCTCTGGTGTACCAGACTGAGGGTTTGGGCTGGATTTGTGGCTCAGGGTGTCTTTTTGGAGCAGAAGGGCCCTCATTCCCTGGTTCTGGAGGGTCAGCCTTGGGAATGGGAAGGGATTATTCTTCTCTGTGCCCACTCAGATCTTGGGGCGGGATCCTGCCGGGAGAGGCTGGGTGGAGTGGGGCTGGGGCCAGTGGGATGTGCAGCCAGCCAGACGGGGTGAGGAGGATGGGGTGAGGGACTTCTCCGTCCCCTTTGCAGTTTGCCCAGGGCTTTTTACTTAAAAAAAAAAAAAAAAAGATAAAAAGGAAATTAATAAAGAGCAATATATCAGCTCAGGCAAACTCCACTGCTGGGAATAATATCCCTTGGTTCTTACCAGCTTGCAAAAGGGATAAACTTCGTGCTGGGTTCCCGTTCAAAGGGCAGCTGGGGAAAAACAAACCAGAGCATCAGCACGGCCTTTGCCCTGCCGGGAGCAGAGCTTTCCACCCGGCTCCACTCCGGCCCCTCCACTTGGGGGTCACTGGCTCACCACGGGCCCCATAGCACAGCTTGCAATGTTTGCATGGTTTGTAACCATTTCACAAGGCTCCAGCAAACGGAACAGGGGCTCAGACCTCTCTGAAACACTTTTCCTTGCCTGACGTGCAGGTGTTGAGCAGCTTTGTTGAACGCCAGGGCTCGGTGTGCTGTGCTGGGGCACCAGCGCTGCCTGGGGCACCCTGGAGGGGCTGGAGCTCTGCCCTGCAAAGAGGGGGCACTGAGGATGGAGGTGGTCCAAAGAGAAGGGAATTGAGACAGATTTCAAACATCTGGACCAGTCTTTACTGTTTCCATGAGCCATTTTCCTCACTGTCACTCCCCTCTCTGAGGGTACCTGCTGTGTGCTGCAGCTGGGGACATGCAGGCACAGAGATGCTGGGGTGTCCTCCCTCGGCCTTGGGGTGACTTGCCGCTGGCTGTGCCACCCCGTGTGCCTCAGCCAGGGGACTTTCAGTGCCTAACCAGACTGTCCAAGAGATCCCATTACAACTCTGTGTTTTACCCACTCCTGTGCTCATCTCCAGTCTCATTTTCTCTTCTTTCTGGCTGTTTGGGGGCTGGATTTGGAGAGTGAGCGAGATGAGGACTTTGAGGGGTATCTGAGGAAACTCAGACTAATTTGCTTCACCTCTTTTTTTTTCTAATTAGAGTCAAGGGAAAACTGTTTTTAATTTTTTTCCTTCCTGTGCGTGACTGTGATTTCAAAAGTGTTTAATCCACTAGATCCATAAAAGCCCTGGTGCCAGTGTGTTTTGCCCAGCTTGTATGGACGAGTTTGGTGCTGAGTTGTCCCAGTGGTCCTGAGTGAGGGTCTGGCCCTCCTGATGCTGCTGTTACAAACCAGCAGGATTGAGCTTTCCTGGGGAAATGCTACAATTTTCCATTCATCCTTAGGAGACCCCTTGGTCACTCTTTGAGCTGAAAATTCAACAGGCACCTCACTGCAGTTCATTTAGTGCTCATTTCCCTTCGTGTCACACTTGTGAGCAGCCCTGCCAGATGAGATTGGAGAGTGGTGGTAGAGGAGAGAACTTAAATTGCTGCTAAATACTGGCAGATCCTGTTATCCAAAACTCCTTTATGGAGAGAGGATGCCTGGGGAGGGGGAGTTTGTGGTTAGACAAATTCCGTCAAACAAAATGAGGTGCGTGTTAAGGGATGCAGCCGAGCCAAATACGGGGGGGTGGTGGTGGTGGTGTCTGAAGGGTTTTTCTTCAAGCTGCGAAATTCAAATTGGCATTAAAAAATGAAGCAGACAAGGTGACATCCAAGACTCATTAAAGTTGTTAACTGAGCTCTTGCTGCTGTGTGGGGCTTTCAGCTGGAGTGTGTGAGATAACTGCAGCTGATAGAGATGGCATCTTGTGTTGGCTTGAGGCAGAGAAGAGCTGCTCTCGTGGACACTGTTCCTTCTGCAGGCGGAGGGTTGGTCCCAGGGCTGTCTGGCATCAGATGCTGTTTTAGTTTAGAAATACTCATCTGAAAGGAGCAGAAATCAGAATATTGGAAGTAAACAATTTTTTTTGCATCTACTTTGCTTTTTTTTTTTAATTGTCCAAGTCGTGGAATCCCAGAATGGGTTGGGTTGGAAGGGACCTTAAAGCTTGTCCCATCCCACCCCCTGCCGTGGGCAGGGACACCTTCCACTCTCCCAGGTTGCTCCAAGCCCCGTCCAGCCTGGCCTGTGGGCAATCCCAGTGTGATTAAACTCTCCTTTGCCTCTCCCAGCCCCAAACCACCACCTGCTGAGGGTGTGAAGTCCAACCCCTCCAAGCGGCACCGCGACCGGCTCAACCAGGAGCTGAACAAGCTGACGGGGCTGCTGCCCTTCCCTGAGGATGTGCGCTCCAGGCTGGATAAGCTCTCCATCCTACGGCTGGCCGTTGGATACCTGAAGGTCAAGAGCTACCTGACAGGTGAGTGTCCATCTTGTGAGGGGGGAAAAGCCCCTGGGGTCAGTACCCAGGGGACTGCACAGCTCATGCCCCACCCCAAGCTTTGGGAGGGAAAGCTGTGTTTCCTGAAGATAGGATGGTGGTGAGATGTGGGATCGGGCCCTTGGATGCTGATAATGCAGTGTTGCACCTTTAGCTGAGGTGCTGGACTGAAAATGCCAAGGAAAAGTGGGCAGGAAAGTACCTCATCTCCCAAAATGTGGTGGAGTTGGCAGTGGTTCCTCGTGGGACCCCTCACAACACACGTTTTATCTGTGTCCCCTCTGGAAGAAATCATTGGAGGGTGATTCTGGAAGGAAAGCCTGTGTTTGTTTTCTGGAAGGAAGGAATCACCTTCGTTTTTGGATGTCACACATCCAAGTCTGGTTCTCTTCGGTCAGTTATGGGTGCTTGGTGTCCTGGAAAAGCAACATCCCTGGGACAGGGAGACCACCTAGTTCAGCCTTGGAAACTGAGGGTTGGAGAGCAGGCAGGTGAGTGACTGGGGAGGGGTTGGGGGGTGTTGGGAGCAGAGGATCCCGACCCCATCACTCTTGGAAGGGGTGACTGGCAGAGGAACATCACTATGGATGGAGGGAGCAGTTTGGGAGCAGTTTGGGTGCCTGCCCAGGAGCTGAGACCTCCTGCAAAGTTCCTCCATCTCATCAGCAGCCATCCTCCCCGTCCTTTACGTCCAAACACCCTCCTTTACTTCCAAAAACCCTCCTGTGTCCCACTCCCACCAGCCCGTGGTGAAGAAGGGAGTGATGTCTTGTTGAGCAGCAACATTTCCCTCATCCAACTGGAATGGCAGTTTAAAATTACATTAAGTAACTATAAATTTATGATGTAATACGTATTCCCTGTTATTGTGTTCCATATTATGTATTTTCATATTTATTCCATATTTGGTATTCTTATATTTATTCCTCCCTCCCTATCCTTCCCTCCCTATTCTTCTTCAAGCAAATCTTTAATTCTTCTTCAATCCAGTCTCACTCCAATCTTCAATCCAATCTTCTTCAATGTATTATAATTACAGTATATTTAATATGTAAATTATAGTATATATCATACATATCATATATATATGGTATATAATATGATATATAATTATTAAATTATAAATTGAATTGAACCCCTCCAGGGTCTGTAGGCTGCTGGACCTGGCACTGCTGGGTTGATGGTTGGACTCCATGATCTTGGAGGTCTTCTCCACCCTTTATAATTCTGTGGTTGGGCTCCTTCTCCTGAGGCTGCAGCTCACACATGGAGCTGCAACGGTGGGATCTCTCCATCAGAGCTGGTTTCCCGGGTGGGACCCAGAGCAGCTCCATCTCCAACTCCCATTCCTGGGCAGTGCTGGAGCATCACAACGGCGATGCCTCTGGAATGGACTCGAGGGTGGCTGGCAGAGCACCCAGTGTAGCTGAGCGTGGTGGACCCTCCTCCTTGTCTGTGGTCTCGGCTGTTCCTTGAGCACCTCTGACGTGTCTTGGGAGCTGCTGAGGGCTGTGCTGGACCTGTGCTGGCTGACTGGCTGTGGGTGAGAAAGGCTGTGACCCAGGGGGTCCTTCCTGGGAGCAGGACCCCAGAGGATGTGGTGGAGGCATGAAGAGGCACTTGCAGCAGAGGGAAGATGTCTTTGCACAAGAGAAGTGATTGCTGCACACATTGGGTGTGCTTTGGGCTCCTCAAAGCCAAGGATGGACTGAGAGTGAGCTTTGCTGAGTGCCTATTCTTTTCTAACCTGCTTTTTTTGGGAAAACCTGGGGAGTGGGGTTCAGTTCCCACGTGTCTGAGATGCGGGATGGGTGGCTGGGAAGGAAGGCAGCCGAATGCCATGGTGGCAGGGTGTGATGTTTTGGGGACACCACAGGTCCCTCTGTCCCAGGCGGTGCTGGCAGAGCATTAACTCCTTCCTGCTCCCTGACCCAGCCACAGGCTGTGGCACACAGCACGTGTCTGGGCCAAGAAGGGAAATGGGGGTGCAGAGCCTGGCTGGGGGGAGTCACCACATTCCCACGAGTCACCAGGACATGGGGACAGGGACATGCTTCATCTCCAGTGCCTTGGGCTTGATGGAATGGGTGATGTACACTGGTGGAGGCAGAGCATGTGGAGGGCAGGAAGGCAGCAGCAGCTTTCTGTGCTTGGAGGCTCCTGTTGTGTCCTCTCACCCCCGCAGACTGAATAGACTTGGCTCCCTTAGCTTTTGCCTCATGCCTAGCCCTCTGGAGCTCTCCCAGGGCCCTCTCCAGCGAGGATGCTGGTCTCCAGGAGGAGACCCCGGTGCCAAACTCTCCAGATGGGACCTGTGCCTCCAAGCAGGAGCTGGTTGCTGCTGGCTGTGCTCAGCATGTGCTTCCCAGCGTGAGAGCTGCTCTGGAAATGCAATTGGCATTGCACGGATTTGTGTTCCTCCTTGGAGACCTGTCCTGCCAGGCCAATTACTCCCATTTGGCCACTTGCCTTTGATTTCCAGCTCCTTCCCCTTGCTCTGCCCCTATTTGCCCTGAAGTTCATCGTGTTTGACTTCAGATCATCCCCCCGATTCATCAAGGTCTGCCTAGTTCCAGCCTTGCCCGATGAAGACCCATGTCGGCTGCAGGTCAGGGCAGCCTGTTCCTGGCTGTTCCTGTTCCTGGTGTGTCCCCTCAGGCATTCTGGGGGGACATGGTGAAGCCCCTTGTGCTGTGCTTTCTGCTCCAGTCTTGCTTCATGCAGGCCCCTCTCCTGCAGCAGGAGAGCGTGGCATCACCTGGTGAGCTTCCCTGTCCCTCTCTCCATCCACAGCCCAAGTGTGGCCTTATCTCCAGGCAGGAGACAGTGGATATTTTGATAGACTGATAATTGCCTTATCTCCAGGCAATTGATAGACCAATTGCACGTGGGCTCACAGGGTGATGCCCTGAGGCTCCTTTTCTTCTTGTGCTGCATTTCTTGTGCTCCCTCCATGCCTGGAGTGGAGCTTCCCTGTGTTGTCTGCGTCCAGCCTGGCTGAGGGAGGGGGTTCCAACCTTCTCCAGCTTCTCTGGTATTTCTGATATGTGGGTACTATATGCCTTTGACTCAGGAACTGACCTGTTTAATGGAGTGTAGGAAGTCAGGCATCACGGTCTGGGGCAGTGTTTGGGGTGGGACAGAGTGGAAGACAACTCGTAGTGAGTTTGAATGCTGGCATCAGTGCCTGCTTACAGGGTGGATATTAGGGAAAGGGTCTTGCATCTGGGTGGGACCCTGGTTTCCATCACAGGGTAGTGACTCACTGCACCATCTTTTAAAGTTGCTTTGCTTTTAAATGTTCTCTCTTCTGTCCGTGCTTTAGCGAGAAACCAGAAAATTAGTAGTTTGCTGGAAATGCAAACTACTATGCAAGGCTCAGGTGTAGAGAGGAAAGCCCTCAGAGCTCCCTCCATGCCTCCACAGGCTGATTTTGGGCACACACATCTGCTGTAAGTCCTCTGTCCCCTGCTGCAAGTGCTGCAGGTGTTGCACAGCTCTGGTGTCTCAGTTTCTCTGTGCAAAATAAATAAAAAAAAAATTAAGAAAAAAGGAAATTTGGCTTTTGAGTTGGGTTGGTTTTGGCTGTGACCCCTGGGCTGATTCTTCCGCGTAGTCAGAAGGAGGAATAGACCCAGGAGTCCAGGTTTCCCTCTTCCTTTGCTTTTGGCATGCACTTATCACCAGCTGTGGGTGATGCCCTGTGGGTACCTCAGGGGGGGACCTGCCATAGTTGAGCACTCCTGTGTTTGCTCTTCTCACCGAGCTGAGGCTTCTCCACCCTCCCCAGGCCAGAGCCTGCTTTGGGCATCACTGAACTGTCACAGAACCATAGAATGGTTTGGATTGGAAGGGACCTTAAAAACCATCCAGATCCAAATCCATCTTACCGGAGGTTATATGGATAAAACACAGCAAGACAGGGGCTCAGGGCTTGGTGTCTCCCAAGCTTTGCTCATCAGAGCCAGCCTTTGAGTGCTGGTGGATAGTGATGACAAGCCTGGTACTATCAAAACCTGCATTAGAGGCACTCTGAAGGTTTTGTCACTCGTATAAAAATGGACTGAACCTCGCTGCCAGCCTCATGCTGAGCTCCTGTCTGCAGACCATTTTGCAGTGGTTGCTACTTGGACCTGTGTGACGGTC